AGACCTTTCAGATTACCCCAGACGCGCGCAGTCTATCATCCCCGGAGTGTTTTGCTGCAGTACAAATGCCCTTATGGAACTGCTCACAAAAAAAACCCCAAACCTTGAACTGCACAGTGGAGCAACAATTTACAGGCAGAGCGTGCCAAAACCCAGAAATACTGGTTTTGTTATAACTGCAGGTCTAGGCTACCAGTTTTTTAATGATTGCAGATTATGTGGATTCCTGCATAATCTGAAAGGTACTCAGCCACTTGAGACCCAATGAACTGAGGTGTGTGTACAGCACCATCTCCTGTGGGAAGTTTTACTCACTGTACTTCCAGTGATGTGAACAAGGCCTTCACTGACTGATTTTTAATTTGCCTTCACTTCTTTAAGGAGGCACATAAACCATGAAGTCTGGTAGCCACAACACCTTGGATCAAGTACTTCAATTAAAACTAGTCCAGGAATGACTAACTTCAAGGAAACTTGTTTTGTCTAGAGAATGATGATTCATCAGATCCAATGGTTTGCAAGCTTCTATTTCAACAAGATATTTATCAGAAATGTTCCTCAGGTCAAAGACAGTGACTTGAGAAACAGAATCATCTTTCATCATGTGTACATGAAAGACACAAGTGCAAAACCGTCTCTAGTCTGTTAAATAGAGCACTTACTTGGCATACAAAACATGCATGTTCCAGTCCTTGCTCTACCTGACTCAGAAGGAACGTGAGTACTGTAATTCTTTGCTTGCTCCAAATAGTACCTGCTTTATATAAAATAGAAAAAAAACTGACGAGAGGTAGAGCAGTACCTGCTTTGGATGTGGGAAACAAATGCAAATCCCTGCTCTGAATGAATGTCCTAAGCAACATCAGTTGATCAGAAAAATTAAGAAACTGCTGGTTTAGCCTTCGCTTATGAAACCCCATCATCTCATAAATACTCCATTGCTATCAGACTCCCTTCTCTATTTCCTCCTTTCTTTCCTCTCCCCTTTAAAATAGGAAACTGATGACAAGGCTGAGAAAACGGACTGTTCTGAGCTATTCGTGTCTATCCATTGTCACTTGTGAAAATACATTTTGTACTGATATGAGGACACACAAGTCTATGAAGTGAATAAGTAAGTGCCTGACCCAGTAAGTCAAAGAGATCATCCAAGATGCTTCTCAGGGCAATATTCACCCTTCTCCTGTATCACTAAACTAGGAATAAAAGAAGCAGTTACAGCTTTACAACTGAAAATACACTGATTTTTCCATTGCGACCAGTTGTGTTTTAGGCTCAACTGCATCTCCCCTCCTCTCTTGAGCCAAAGTGAGTTATTCATTAATTCTGGTATGCTTTAGTCACTGCCTAAAACGTGAAGTAGTTTGTAGAACAAAGACAGGAGTTAAGGGTCAAACTGGTGGGAGCAAGTGCTGGTATTTGCTTTTGGGGTTTGTTTGTTTGTTTGTTTGAGGTTTTTTTTAAGATTAAAAGTGAACTTTCCTTTTTCCAGGTCCACGGAAAAGACGTCTAACAAAAAAACATTGAAAAACTGCTGTACTACATTAATTAAATATAATGTTCTAAAACTAGGTGCACAAGCTGACCCTTACTTAGTTAATTAGTCCTTGCTGTTCCTGAGACAGCATTGTTCTCTCTCCTTTCCCCGAGTACTACTTGGTCATGATTTTTGAGTGAAAGGTCACTACCTTGCCCTTCCAAGTCACTGTCAACTAAGTATGAACCACCAAAGTCACCTAGAGTTTGGCTATTAACTTCAGCAAGCGTTTGATCTAGCCCTCTATCACCTATCTCATCTCCTCTAAGAAGTCTCCATTTGTGGACAATCAGACAGCAGCTGCCATCGCAAACACTTTTCAACTTTCAGTTAGATCTTAAACTGCGGGTGATGAAAACTGCAGAGAAAGGTGGAGACAAACAAACAAACAAAAACCAAACCAAACAAAAAAAACCCCTACAAAACACCAAAACCAACCAACCAACCCACCCCTGAAAAACACTGCCAACGTTTACATAGTGGGAATTGGGGGGAAAAAGAAAGTGTTAGAAATACTGTGTCATTATTTGTAATAATGATTCTGCAGTTTGCTTTCTAAATTTTGTTGCATTTAGTATTTTATTTTGGAGAAGAGCAATACAAATCAGAAGATCTCCATACAGAATTTCAGAGCCACACGCTTTCATGCAAAAATTTGAAAAGTGGCTTAGCCAAGCTCAGATAAAATCAGCACCAGAGTTAGAAATGAAACTCTGGAGTTCCTAGCTCTTGTGCCTGAATTCAGATTGCCAAACTTACCTTTCATCAGCAAAACAGGAGTGCAAGAATTTGCATATAGGCTGGTTTTTGGAGCTATACTGGGTAGTAACTGCAGCAGAGTATTAACACTATACAAAAACCAATGCCATCTGAAGAAAGGAAAGAGACTGCTAGGGATGAATTAATTTTATTTGGGGTTTTAAAAAGGATCCTTCATCTTTGTAGTATAAATCTAGTAGGTCAGATTTCTCTCTGACATTTACTCCAGACTCCTCCTCTACTAATCGGTTGTCCTACAATGATACTGTAAAGCTTTTATAGCAACAGCAGCATTAACATCTCAGCAACATCTCCTACCAGAACATGGGCATAACGAACACACACTAACTCCATATCAAAAGAAGCAAGTTCCACTGCGCCAACATAGCCAAGGTCATTCTCCTCAATGACAAGTGCCTTACCTATCTCTGAATTCACCTCCTCCGAGGCTGAGAATAATGGCTCTGTTAAACTCAGTAGATTAAAATATTCAGTTATCCATTAAAGAATGAAAACATTCACTACCATTTACTGAACAGCATACTACTTAAAAATGTTAGTCTGGCTCAGTTTCCTTCTATGGTTGTCTTGCATGCCAGACAATCACTCTGCTCATACAGCGCTGTTACAGCTATTGGGGCTGAGACGGGAGAAAGGTCTGGTTTCTGCCTGCCAGCAAATGAGACCTCTGTGACTGGATTTGAGCTCCTCTCACAGAAAAGCACACTGTGAAAAAAGTCTTTCCCAAGGATGATCTCTGTGTATACTGTGTCATTTCTTTTTCATCAGTTGTGACAAGCCCTTGCACGTAAGCAAATTCAGGTTTTTATTTTGCTTACCTAGTTTTCAGGCAACTACATTTCTTACAGAACAAAATCTAAAGATACTCCAAGAATTAAAGTGCTAGCAGTAAAAAGCCTTCTATAGTTTACATTACAATGCTCATTTGCCAAACAATCAGAATGAAACATTCACTGCTTTATTTACTCATTAAAGAACATTGACCAATGTCCTTTACAACTGCTGGCTTAACCTGGGCTGTTATAGAAGAAACTATAGACAGATGAAGAGCCCAATTCTGTGTACAACTATGCCTACAGTAAAAAAAGATTTTAGACCCCTCTCCCAAAAACATACAATCAATACATGACTGTTAAAACGACCAGTCTGCAATGGGAACTGCAAAGCGTGTAGTCAGAGTAATACCAGATCAAGAACTTAGCTTATGATTCAGCTGTGGGATTCAAAGGACAAACACATATAGTGGAGACCTTGAGAAAGAACTCCAGCCTCAATTTTTGTTTTGGAGAAGCAATTCAACAGCTTTGTCCCACCCACCTCACATACAGCAGCTGTAAACTCAATTTAAACAACCAGAAAAATGGGGTTCTACCTGCTTTGCACCAGCATAAAGGAGACAGACTGTGGACACGAGAGAGAGAGAGAGAATTCTGCTGAAGTACTAAAATGTTCTGTGAGTGTTCGTGAGACTTTCGTTTTTCCCTTGCAGGCTATACCTTTTTTCCTGCTGCCATTGAAAAGCCATGACTGAAGGATTTTAGGCATGTGGTGACAAATACCTGTTTGCTTGTTTAAATCCAGCCCCTTTGGGCAGAAACTAGAAGTTGTCAACTTTTAATGACAGCTTGGAAATGGTTTAAAAAGCTGCAACTTTGTTGATACTGCCTGCCATTCTCAGTGCTGAATTTCACTAGTCTATTCCTTAAACTAGATGCCATTTCCTGGCAAAGAGCACTTTAACCCACAGATCTGATTTTATTTCATGAAGGGAGATGGTGATGCAGTTAGCTTTTCCTCTCCCCTCAATGAAAACACCATTTTGGCAGTGTAAAATTATCCAAGCTAGGAAAACTCTTGCTGCTCCATCATTCTGCTATAGTCAGACAGCAAAACACTCACAAATACATGTAGACAGTAAAAACAGAAGCTATGCGTGCGCTGGAAAAACATCTGCATTGATGCAGAGATCCATCCAAGATACGCTTACACACCGCTTCAACCAGCTTGGTACAGACCTTAGTTTTGAGGCATGGAATTAAGTGAGTGAGCTGCTTCTGGTTTTCATAGTGAGTACTTCTGTCTTTATAAACTCCCTTAATTTAATATTTTCCCATTTTACTGGGCTTTAATGAAAGCATACAAAGCCAAAATCAGATAATAATTAGTAAGTTAATATAAAACACAGGAAATACCAACTGATGTGCATAATTATGTCTGTCTACAAATAAACCTGGACCCTGTCCGGAGAATTTGAATCCCTAGTGCCTGTAATATTCCAGGCCCCAGACAAGCTCACTGTAGAGACAATCCAGATCAGGAGTCATGGTGGTTATCCAAGAAAGGGCTAAGAAGGTGTCCCTGCAGAAGCACTGTTAGGTGCTGATATCCAGTCCCAAGGACACATTCAGCCAAAGAGAAGACTCTTGACTTTCATTTCATTAAATACTTCATTGTACTATATTCACTCAAGAAAACTGCATGGATGAATTTTTTACAGTATCAGAATTAACCGAGTTAAATGCCCTTAAACTCTTTGCTTTTGTTTCTAGTCGATCGCTGGTCTCCAACACAGCTAACTCCACATATAAAACACTTCAACAGCTTAAACCAGTGTCAAGTACAGCTTTTCACTTTAAAACTTCCTATGATATAAAAAAGCACATGTTTGTCTAGCAGGTCTTACCTCCAAAAGTCCATCTTCAGGTAGGTCTGTGCAGTGGACAGCATTCTGAATCTTGTTCTTCCCAAAGACAGCACGCAGCGTTCCAGGTCGGAGATGACGGGCTATTTCCTATTGAACAAAAGAAAACCAGAAGACCTTTGTGAACCACACTGTTCCTTTATATCGTGGATGCAATAGAATCTTATAAAGTAAAACATTATTGTGCTATCAATATGTGTGGGGTACAGTATAAAAGAAAATGAAGAGGGAAATTCCAGCTTGCACTACATACATACACAACAGCTGAAAAACCATGACGAAGATTGTGAGAACTAACTGCTTGAAATTGTGCCAATCAAGCCACCTCAGGTGAAATGCAGGATCCTTCATGTTACACATACACCTGCCTGGCACTTATATTAATACAATTAGCTCATGTTAACACCTTCGCAGCTCTCAAGCACAGAATGTGCTGTCCTTAGTGACCAGACACAAGTGCACCAGCTTGCAGACTGCCTCCCATAACACTGGACTATTTTGCCTCAGAACCTGACATTTGTGAAGCCCAGCTACTGAACAGCCTCTTGGTCTTCTCCTCTGCAGTGCTTCCCTGACACCATGACCAGTGCCAACATCTGATCCCCTCTGAGGATCAGTCCAGACTCTCTCTCCACATCTTTCTCTGTTCTTTGAAGTTGACATTACAATACTCTTCATCTACAATGCCAAACGCCTCCTTGGCCTCTCAGAGTGTTTCTCTTACTACAGCACATACCACTCAGGTCCTGAGATAGCATTCCTCCCCTACCTCTTTACTATGGTATATCTCCCATCTTATACCGCAGAGGACTGCCTTCATTGGCTCTCCCCTCCACCATGCTCTTTCTTTCAAGGCATAATGCAGTCCTGCTGTACTTCTCTGCACTGTCACCTTGCAGTGCTGTCTTTTAACCCCTTTCCTATGCCAACTGTGCTACACCTTGTTGGCCTCTCTTCCCAACACCCTGGAGCTCTTCTCCAAGCCTACCTCATGCACAGTGTGCCTCCTTTTAAAATTCAGTGATGATGGCATTAACCCAGTTTTCCCTCCTTTGGACGTTCTTCCATGAGTGCCCCCTGAACACTGCTGCCTGTGAGGGGACAGGCCAATGACAAGCTCACACTACAGCTACTGAACAAAAAAAAAAAAGCATTCTTCCTTGCCAACAGAGCCTACATCGGCCGCTTTCTGAAAAGGCACCGGGTACATTAGGGTATAATCACTTCGGAAGTGGTCAGCGCAGTTTCACTGTGCCACTCCCAGGTGTTTGTTTCGGTGTCACAGCTGGAGGTTACTGCCCCCACAGCCGAGTCACCAGACTGGATTGTCCAAGCATTTCTTAACTTTCAGTGTCAAATGGGTTCAAAGTGACTTCAGTAGTGGCCCTTGGCTGACCTGGAAAACTTTGCACAGGTACAGATGAGAACCACTTGCATGATGCACGCTCTCTTCTGGGATGGCAGTGAATGTTTTAAGCGAGTCCCAAAAGACCTCACAAGAGCATTATCTGACAACAGCCTTTAGCCACTCTCCAGCTTCACCCACTTGTCATGTCTCATTACTAAACTAAGACAATTGGACTTTAAGGGCAAGATCTTCTCTTAGCCCAGCAAGTCCTAGATATTTTCCTGTAATAACAACAATTATGGTGATCTGTTACCTAGTAACCTAGATGTGTTACCTATGGTGATCTCTTACCCACCTGGAAGACAAACTGCTTTAATGCTTGGAGTGTGTCTAACCCAAAACATGCTACAAGGAGAAGTTTCAGTTCCCCATTGTTAATCTGTGTATGTCACAGGTTATACAGGATCTTTGGATATGGATGTCAAGGATATTTGAGTAAGATACACTCAACATCAAACAAATTTTGCTTCAGAGGAAAGTTCAAGAGTTTCACTTTAAAAAAAAAAACAAAACCCAAGGAGAAGAAAAAAACCCCCTCCTCTACATGGTCCTCATTAAAGGCTTGCGATAAGAAAGCCTGCTGGAGAAACAAAAGTCACATGCCAGTTAACTATAGCTATGTGACACTTTAATCAAGCCTTCCTTGAAACAACTGTTGATTCCAGTAACCGCTAGCTTTCAGGAAGCTGACAATAGCACTAGGCTTTCAATTATTTTAAGGAAAGTTTGGGCATATTAGAAAAAAATATCGTGGCTATGAAACCTTTGGAAACACTTTAGCAAGAAATAGCTCAGATCTAAAAAGCAAAAGCTTGGTTATTTCATATTCTGTTTATTTCCTATCCATCTAACTCTTTTGCTCAAACTGTTCCATCCTCCAACAGGTCCAAAAATGCTGCTGCTTATGAAACTTTCCCAAGTTTTCCCTTGGCATCTTCCTCACCAAACCCATTTTTCTTTTTTTTTTTTTTCTCCTTTTCTTTCTTTAAAAGCAGCTACGGCCTCCTGACTTATCATTCACCCCAAGCTCTTATTTCTACTTCACAACTTCATAACAGAAGACCTCATGTTTCTTCTCTCGGACTCACTCTCTCTCACTAACATTGGCAAAAGCTCCTACTGTTGCAGTACGCAATCTCCTGTTCTTCCTTCAATTTTTCAATGCAGGTTGCTATGCATTCTCCTGCCCTCCTGAAACTCATCAGCCATCTTGCACAAAAAGGGACTCATTCTGTTCTGCCTGGGATTGCATTAGATCAGAAGTACACAAAGGTAGGTCCTCCAGCACTTTACATTGTGAGCACCTGATTAATAAGAATCTAAATAAGGCTTTCTTGCCATCAGTTAACAAACAGAACGAGAGGTAAAGCAGTCTCTGCTTATATTTACGTAGCCAAAAAAGGACAATAATTGTCAATTCCGAAGTTTTACTATTCCGTCGCTTTCTTACTACGCCACTGAGGAACCCTCGGGGAACAAGGCCTGATGGAGGTACAAAGAGCTGTATGGATCATATATAGGTGTCCTTGTGTATGTATGGCTGGAAATCTTGGGCACGTTTCAGGAAGGAGGAAGAGAGTTCCTTACAGAACTTATTCCTCATAACACATATACACTCTTCTGCTCCACGACAGGATGTTTGCTAAGCATTTTATTTATAGGGCCTCATTTGCAACAACAGGGAGATACAAATATAATAGTGGGGTTTGGGTTGTTTCCCCCACACCCCTCCATCCCCTTTTAAACTTATTTTGCCTAAGCTTTCTGCTGAGTCTAATTTCCCGAGTATGTGTTTTGTGTACTGGTTTTCAAAAACTTTTTGAAAGGAGTTGAGAGTGGGATGGTGGAGGAGTTAAGAGCAGCTACAGCTCTACCATATGCATGAGAGGAGAGTAACATGTGTGTGCTGGAACTTCATGTGCGTTTGTAAATGGGGATCCATGAATTTGCACCTCACACAAGGAATACACTGTCTGCGGCAAAACAAACCAGGGTTGCTGTACCAAAAGGCTTCGTCCTCTTTGGTCTTATTCAGCAGGCTATTTGATCACATCTTACAGGCCGGGCTTTGATCTACAGCTAGCTCTTTGAAGATCCTTGCCCTACACAAGATACAGATGCATATATTTCATGTTTATCATATAACTGTGCCCAGTGCAACACTGCCTGTATGAAGAACTTAGCACATTCTAAAATGTTTCTATTTCTATACAAGTGAAGGGAAACAAAAATGTCACCAATGCCAGTAATATGTCAAAATCAGACTGAAAAATCATAAACATATTCATGAGCAAAGCTCATTAACTGCTTTTCCTTCAAATGACTGTTTTTTCATGGGCTGGATGGGAAGTTATGTAGAACAGTAACACGTATTCCAGCCAAAACTGCAGATTTCCAGAGAATTTGGCCAGGTTTTTTAAAGCATCTGCCCTGAATACTTAATTGGGTATCTAAATAGGCCAAAAGGCCACTGCTCTTAAACATGCATGCTCTTCTGCATGCTTCATTGTTGTTTAAATGGCATTCAAGGAAAAGCCAAAGAGGCGACCACTGATTCTGTGCAGCAACCATTTCCTCCCTCCTGAGTGGGAAACAACACAAACTCTGAATGGACCAAAACACACAAAGGAACTTTTACAGCCTAAAACTTTTGTTCTAGTTCATGTTCAAGTAGAACAGGGAACCTTGAAAATTCATTACTGGTCCTCTTGAGTGAAGCAGAATAAAAATAAAAGAGTTTGTGATCAAACCCTCTCCTACCCACAGCGTGCTCCCAGGGCAGGTTCATTCTTTTAGGTTTGCTTTCAGGCCAGCAGTGTTCACAGGACTTCTTGGGCTGCAACAAACTCTGCGCAGTCCCCTCTAAGCCCCCAGTAAAACACCTTGTTTTCCTTCTCTATCCAAGCCCTGCCTGCGTGTCTGCTCCTTGCTCTTCTTGGCATTCCTCATTCATCACTCTTTCTGAAGGCTTTATGTTGACTTGGTCTCCCCACCTCTGCTTTCCCCACCCTGCACTCGAAGCTTTTTTCTTCTGCAGTTCTCCACACTCTGCTGTCATGAAAGAGATGGCCCCTCTTTCCTCTCAAGGGTGCCAACTGATCCAGAAGGCAGTAGCTAGCCTCAGGCAAACAAGCAAGTGCCTTTCTCCTTTTAAGGACCAGCTACGCCCTTGTCAAGAGAACAGAATGGCACATTTACTGTGAACAAAGTAATGTAAATTCCACCACTCACCGTGGAATTTGTCTGGCTGAACTTTAGCAATCAGAAAGCTGACTGCCTCGTCCAAGCGAGGCACCTGAGCTTCCTGTGTAGTGAGCGGAGGGTGATAAGCCCTTTCAGGAAAAAAAAATAAAGACTTCTGCAGTACAACAGCTATGTAAGGTAGGCAGGATAAGTGCCTCTCTCTTCTCTTCCCATCATCACAGCTCTTCAGCTGGCTTTTATTTTCAGGGGATTTTAGCACCAGTCATATCACACACTGCTGGCTGCAGCAGGGAGCTGTACAAAATAGTCATTCCTACACAAGCCATCAGCAAGAGGTAAAATGATAAAAGCAGCACAGTCTCCGTCATGCAGAATACAACAGTAGAGAAGCATCTCCTGTAATGCTTATTCAAGCTAAGAAACACCTTAATATTATTGTTACTGGTTATTGTGGGAACCACCTCAGCTGATCAGTCTG